TCTTGCCCTTTCTCCTTCTCAGGAATTTGATGACTATGAATTTGGAAGTATTGAGTTTGTAGTCCCCCAGAGAGGCCACTATGGGAAAACTACACGTTAACTGGCCAAAGCCTAGAGCAGGAAGGAGCTGAAACCGGAACCAGTATGTCCGATGGTTTTCTTGTACTGCTTTTATAGCTGGGGTAGGACCACAACTCTGTCATTTCCAGTGTGATCTTAGGAGGTGACCCTCCCTCATTAAGCCTGAGTACCCTCCCCTGACAGCAACAACCTGAATTGTCCCAGGTCCTTTGAAAGCTACGGGCATATTTACATGACTGATTACTGATCTAGTTGACATAGTAACTGCATGTATGTGCTGCTTGCTTTCTTATTCTCTTCCCTTTCTGCTTTCGTGGTGTTGAATATTTTGTATGATTCTTTTTTTTCTTTTTGTTTTTTTTCTGTTTAAATATCATCGGTACTTTTCTCTTTTTTAGTCTTTGAAGCAGTGCCCTGGAATTTATAAACTATGTTTACAGCTAATCCGGCTGTCTTTAAAAAAACATTCTACTATGGAGTAATCGCTGAGGTACACTAACATAACAAAATATTTCTGATTCCTCACCTCATATTTATATCCTTCCTGTCATTTATTGCAGTCCACATAGACACACATGACGAGTTGTTGTTGTTGAGAACAAGGATAAAGGCGGAAGATTTGAAAATTGAAAATTTGCCTCTTCCTTCCAAGAGGGTTTTTTTTTTTTTTTTTTTTCCTTGCTTCTGGAGACTCAAGTTTCAGACACACATTATTTTTCTTAGGACAAGCTTTAACATTTTTTAAGTGAGTTCAAACAATTATTTTGGTTTTCATTTGTCTGACAAAGTCTGTATTTCTCCTTTACCTTGAAGGATAATCTCATATGGTAGAGCTCTAGGTTGCCCACCTACCATTGGCAGTGCTAAATATTTAACTTCTCACTTTTCTTTCTTGCACAGATTCTGTGGAGGAATCAGTTATCTTTTTTTTAATCTTTGTACCCAACTAGATTAACTGTTTTCCCTTCTGGATTCATTTAAAAAAAAAAAAAATTGGCTTTGTTTTCCTGAAATTTAAATGTGATACTCCATTGTGCAGGTGTAGCCCAGTGGTGGAGTACATAGCTTAGCATGCCCTGGGTTCAGCCTTAGCATCAATAAAACAAAACAAAACAAATGAAAACAATGAGTAGGACCTCAGCAAGTATGGGATGCTGTTTTGTTTTTTTATTAACACTTAACTTGGCTTGATGTTTTCTGAGCTGCTGTGGATTGGTGTGTGATGGTGACTTAGGGCAATTTTTACTCATCATTGCTTCTAATTTTCTCCTGTTTCTTTCAGTATTTTCCTTCTGGTATTCCCATTATACATATATTATACCTTTTATAGCCATATCATAGTTCTTCCATAGTCTACCTTTTCTAGTCCCCCCCCCCTTTGATTTTCAGTTTGGGAAGTCTCTATTAACATATCTTCAGCTTTGAGATCTTTCCTCTGTCATGTCCTGTTTGCTAATGAGCCCATCAGAAATGCTCAGCACTTCTGGTAGGGTTTTGATCTCGAGCATTTCTCTTTGATGATTAGAATCCCCACCCTTTGCTCAAGTTCTCCATCTGCTCTTGTATGTTATCTACTTTTCCCTTTAGATCCTTAGTATATTAATCACAGTTTTTAAAAATTAATGGTCTTGATAATTTTAACATTCTTGTCATATCTGACTGGTTATGATGTTTGCTCATTCTTTCAAGCTTGGCTTTTTGCCTCTTAGAATGCCTTTTCATATTTTTCATGATGTGTAACGGATGTCCCAGGTGAATAGAACTGCATTAAATAGGCTTTTAGTAAGGTGGTGAGGTATAGTGGGGAGAGGAATGGTTGATCTTAATGATTCCATCTTGGTCTTGTGTCTCTGGATTGTGAACTTCTCAAGATCTCAGAATTTTCTCTCCTACTTAGTTGGGACACTGCATTGTAGCACCTGGATTGATGCATTTCCTTTTCCAGTAAGGCATGACTATAGTTGGTGTATGTTTAAATCCTTGCTCATGGATGGTCTGAGGTACCAGGATTGGCCACTTTGATCTCCTGTGAAGTTGCTGACCTGCTTTCTGTTCCTGTGGCTTTCATGTTCATTAGAATAGCTGAGAAGTAGTCATACTGTCTTTGGAAAGTCACAAAAGTCTGAGAGTTTTTGATTTGGCTTCAGACATTTAGGTCTATGACCAATTTTGATTTACCAGGTTATTTAATTCTAGTCTGAAGAGATGACGACTCATTGGGAAATGTAAATCAAAAGCCCTGTATTGCTTCACACCCAATTGATAATGCTGTGATAAAAAGAAAAACAGAAACTAGCAAGTGTTGGTAAGATCTGGAGAAACTAGAAAGCTTGTGTGCTAATGATAGAAGTATAAACTATGGAAGGCTGAATGGAAGATAAGTGTTAAAACAGAATCACTATACAATCCACGAATCCCACTTCTGAGAATATACCAAATGAAATCAGTTATCCCAAAGAAATATCTGTACACCACTGTCATTTACAATCATGAAAAGATGGGAGTGCCCATGAACTAATGAATAGTTAAGCAGACCCTGGCATATGCTTACAATAGAATATTATTCAGCCTTTAAAAGGAAAGAAACTCTGACATGTTGCAAAATAAGTGATCCTTGAGGACATGATCTGCCATTAGCTAATGGCAGCAGATTATACTTTCAGGCCTTGTATTGTTAATTTACTTATGATCCTCTCTTATCTACCCAATACATGTTACCTAAAGCCCCTCTTACTTGGCCTGATCCTTATTTTGTTTATTCTTTCAAGCTATACTTTTAGAATTTTTTTTCCTTGGTGGATAATGTATTTCTGGTAAATGGCACTACATTAAACATGTCTTTAGTAAAGTGGTGAGGTGTGCAGAAGGGAAATGGTATGTACCTTATGGTTCAGTCTTGGTTTGGGGGGATTTTTTTGCTCTGCAATGTTGATGTGTTCTCATCCTTTTGAGGTCTTTTTAAATCATTCCTTTGTTTTGGAGTTTCTGTTTCTCTCTTTCTTTTTCCTTTTTTTTTTTTTTTTCTTTTTTTTTTTTTTCAAGACAGGTATTCTCTGTGTAACAGCTCTGACTATCCTGTAACTCAATCTGTACACCAGGCTGGCCTCAAACTCACAGAGATTCACCTGCCTCTGCCTCTGGAGTGCTGAGATTAAATGTGTGTGCCACTACTGCCCAGTGAGTTTCTTTTTTCATGTGTTTTTGTTCACTCATTTTTTTTCTTCTATACAGTCTAAATTTTCTTTACTCTCATTTAGTGGCCTTTAAATTTTCAGGTACTACATGTCTAATATTCAGAAGCTTCTGTTTATGTGTATAAGATTAAAGTTTATGTATGTAAAAGAAAGATCTGTACACGTCTTATGTGGATGTAGAGTTTTTCTTGTTTTTTTTTCAATGAATACGACTAGAGTATATGGTATTTGATATATGTCTATTTTGTTATTCTTTTCAATGACATTAAATTATGCCTCAATGGAAATTAATGTACTTAAATGAATTAAATTCTTTAGAGGGTTATATCTCTAACAATCCTTCTTCTGGTAGTAGTTTAACTTCGTTACTAAGGTGACTTTTCCTAAGGATGGCCTAGTACCTTGTCCTAGGAGCATTCCCTCTCCTGAGACCACTTTTTCATGTTCAGGAATGAGGTATGGGGTTTGCTCAGGTGCTGCTCTCTGATGCTTCTTTTTCATGCCTTGGGAATTTTCATTCACACACACAGTTCAGTGCTTAGTCAGTGACTGCAGCATGTCCTCCCCCGAGCCCCTCCCTCAATCTAGTACATCTAGGGATCTCACTGCCTTGGCCTTCTATTCTCTCACCTCTGTCCTTTCCTTCTCCCTCACTTCCCTACTCTGTCTTTGAACCCCTTTCTAGATAGTAAGTTAGGGCAGTTGTAAACCTGTCTTTGTTGTTTCTTCTCTCCTTGGGATCTGTTTCCCTGTGTTGGAAACCTTTGATTCCCTGTTTTGCTTTGCTACTTTTTATTATTTAAAAGCATTTAATTTTTAAAAGCAGTGGGCAAGCCCTGTTACTGTTATATCATGCTGTCCAGGAGCTGAATGAAGCCTTCAGTGGGTAAACCCTGTTACTGTTACATCTTGCTGTCAGGGAAGCTAAAGCCTTCCATTTGTCCTTTTTAAGTTATTGTTTGTCTTGGTAGCTGGTAGAGGCACCTACTGTTCAGTTCTTGTCTTGTCTCTGTAATAATTGAGGCAGTGCCCTGAGTGAATGTGATAGAGACTCTGTTTGGCAATAGCATTAGTATTTAGAATACACAGGGACCTGGGTTCTGATTTGTCTCTTTGTGCTTGGGGTTTTAGGAGTATTCTTCAAGTAATGGGGCACTACCCCTTTTTCCTTTCTGGTGCCATGGTCCATGGACTTGAATTTTGGTTCAAGAGTCCAACATGCTTGATTAGTTGTCAGGTCAAAATGACCTACTTTAAGTAGATAGATAAAGATGAACTTGGAATAAAAGATGTTTATTTCTAAATAATTGAAAAGGATTCTGGTTTCTGCTAAATATATAATTATAACTGTGAAAGAGGAAAGCTTAGTCTACAGATAGAAAACATGGAAGTAGATGAGCTTCTTACTTAAAACCACATGTCCGTATACCATGTTTGCCAAGGGCAGTCCTGGACTATTGATAGCATCTTGGTATGGGTGATTTACTTATGAAACCTATATGTGTACATATATGCAAGAATCCTAGTTTGAATGTGCAGTATTTATGTAGTCATCCTATTTACAAAGACCAGTTTACATAATATAAGGTATGTTAATTGGTATGTTAATTCCTTGGTGATTGTTGTTCCTTGGATGACACATTTACTGTTTACTTTGTGTTTTAGTTAAACGGTGACTAGTGTGTAGTAACTAATAAACAATTTCCTTTTTCATTTTTCCTGCAGACGACCTCAATGCCACCCACCAGCACTGTGTTTTGGCTGGTTCACAGCCTCGATTTAGTTCCACCCACCGAGTGGCAGAGGTAAGCAAAAATAAGAACGTGATGATTCACACTTAACTGGAAGTGGCAGGAGTAGCTGAAGGAACAATTTATCATAGAGCTGCGGACGAGTGCCTAACCGGAACATCACTCTCATCTAGTTTGCCTTTAGTCTTTATTTATTTACTTTTTAGCTCTGGGTTGTAATGGCTGTAGTTTTCAAATTTATTCATGGTATAGGATAAGCCTATTTTGCCTTTTGGAGCTATTTCTTTAAAAAAAAATTATTACATGTATTACATGTCTATAGTGTGTGTGTGTGTGAGAGAGAGAGAGAGAGAGAGAGAGAGAGAGAGAGAGGAGAGAGAGAGAGAATGTGTGTGGAGGTCAGAGGGTATCTTATAAGGGTCAATTTCTTCCACTGCGTAGATCCCAGGGCTGAAACTCAATGTCCTCAGGCTTGGCATCAAGTATCTTGCTAACTGAGCCCTCTTACCAGCCAAGGGTTTTATTTCATGAAGTAGGTAAATGTCATCACATATGCTGATAACTATACTTCCATGGGTAACCATGCCTGCCATGGGTCAAGAGCAAAGAAAATGAGGTGAATTTGTTTGCTTGTGTATATGTTCTTGTTTTCAAATGGCTGAGATCAACATTTCCCTTGCTTTTTGGTTGGACAAGTAGACATATAAATGTATATTTATGAGAAGCTTACAGCAATGTCAGAGAACTTCGGGGGTCCCCTATCATGTTCCCAGCCCAGTGGCTGGGCAACGGCTGGTAGTCAGACTATCATCTGTGATCAGAATGGAAATTATAAGATGAGAAACATGTCTAGCAGTCACTCTTGGGTTTTATAGAGCAGGAAAGTAATGACAAGAATTCTAGACTGGCTTCCTATCCAAGTCTTAATTAATGAATGAACTAATTACAGGTTGCTAGAGTCTAAGTCCAAGGCTTCTCACATGTTAGGCAATCACTGAGCAACAACTCCAGTCCCCTAGCTTATTGACTGTGCTTTGCCTTATAGTTTGACTCTTCAGAGGATATGTGTGGGGGTATAGGGCAGAAGAAATTAACCTTGTAGAACTTCACAGGTCTTGGCAGCCCTTAGGCTGCCCAAGACCACTGAATCAGGCAACAAACCCCATGCCTTTTCCTGGTAAATTGAGCGTTATGGTGCTGTTTAGCAGAAAGGGCAGACATATTTTCACAATTGCCAGCAGGCCCACCAGTCATTCTGTCTTCCTTTACTGCAATCTTTTCTTTGCTATCCACTCATGCTTTGAACATTTCAGTGTTTGTTTTATTGACCTGCATTGCAAGCATGGGAATTAGAGTCTCCCACATAGCTAGTATGCCCAACTCTTATACTCTACCTTTAGTTTGTTTGGGGAGAAAATGTTAAATACAAACATATAAATTCTTATCTTAGATTGTTGGAGTTGTTTCTTTGAGAGGTAAATGCCATTGGCAAGTGTCATTAGTTCTAAGTAAGTTCTATTAAGAAGGAGGGAGGATAAGAAACAGAGAGGAGATGGAATAATTATAGATCATGTGCTGTGGTACAGAATGACTCCATTTCTTTTTGTAGTCATCTGTCTAGATATAATCCTCTCAAGAGTCCTGTTCTTGTCAGCCACTTGAGTATGTGCTATGTAAGCCTGTCTCCCTACATCTTTCATAATCTAACCTGTAAGAGTAGACAGATAGGCATATTAGTGTGGTATTCAAAGGACCTGTGGCCACTGAAGAATGAATTGGTTGGAATATATATTTGATGGGGATACCAACATTCTTGAATTCATATGATTCTTGGTGTACAATGAGTTATTTCATCTAAGTCCTTTGGAACAGTGAATGGGACTGTCAGAGACTCCTTGTGGGAACTTACTCCATCTCTGTGTTCACTAGAGTGGACATAAAGCAAGAGATAGTAAAAAATCTTCATTATGAAAATGTCTACTCAATGAGAGCTGCTATTCAGAAGGGATTTTATTTCATTCACTTAGCGGATTTTCATTAACTGACACTCAAGGTATTCTTTTAGCCAGTTATAAACAGGAACAGATGATTCATTAGTATCTCCAAGATGACTACAAGTCAGGTGTGGTGGTATGTGCCTATAGTTGCAATACTCTAGATGCTGAGGAAGGAGCTTACACGTTCCTGTCCAGCCTGGGCTACAGAAGATGCTTACAGATAGGAGCAAGAATAGTGCAGAATATGAGATCGTGGAAATGAAGAAATGAAGTTGGGAAGTTAGGACGTATCCTGCCCTCCAGCTTTGATTCCTTTTCCCATGTGGACCAATTTTATGCTGTCCATTCGTTACTTCAAAAATATCCTTGAGCTTACGTTTCCCAGATTAACCATAACTATCTTTGTACCTTTTGTATTTTTAGGCCATATTTTGAGCATTTATTCACTTTAAATGGAGAGAGGGGCTGTGCATAATGGGTCTCTGGGAAGACAACATTTATCCAGGTCAGGCTGGGAATGTAGTTGAATTGGTAGAGCAGTTCCCCAATGTTTTTGATCACCAGGCATCTATAAGCAGAACATGTGGTGTGCGCCTATAACCCCAGCACCTGGGAGGTAGAAACAGGAAGATCAGAAGTTCAAGGTCATCCTTGGCCTCAGAGCAAGTTTGGGGCCTGCCTGAGATATGTGAAACTGTTTCAGAAAAGAAAAATTACTTATAGTCTATGTGGTTTATTTCAACCACGTGACATTTTTAATAATTGGATACCTGTAATATTAATTATTTAAATGCCTTTTCTGTATTTTATCAGTCAGTAAATGACTGGAGCAACAGGCTGCTCTTATAAATAAAGTTTTATTGGAACACAGCTACACTCAATTTGATTATATACTGTTTACTGCTGCTTTGGCCTTTCTGTGATAGAGCTGAATATTTGTGGCTTATAAGTCCAAAATATTTAGTGGCTAGTTTTAGAATAAACACTGTTAGTCTTACTATACATGATTCTGAGTATATAGGATTTTGGGTGGGCAAGCATCCTAAAATTGAAAATAATTTTTAAAAATCACTATTTTAGTGCAACTTTATTTCCAGAACAACATGACTACTGAAGTAAAAACTGATAGCATTCGGTGCTCATTACACTACTGAAGCTATGTGTTCTGCACATCTTGTGGGTTTAGTCTTTGGAGCTCTTCATAGGGCTATGTGCACAACAATACTCACTTCTCCAGTCTCCTATACATTTGGGAATCAAACTTGAGAGCTAATTCAGTAAAAGAGAATTGATAGAGGCTTATCTAGCATGGACAATAAATAGGGAAAGCTGGGCAGATCCTTGGTGCCTCTCGTGAGTTAATGAAATCGACTCAGCAATACTGGAGTGTCAGTTTGAATCCTTACCTGTGTGTAGGTTCTGAAAACCAGTGCATGCTTCTGTTGATGTACAGATGGAAACTCAAAACCAGACATTGGTTCAGGTGACAGAATGTTTGTATCTTATTTAAAATGTTTCATTGCATCTTTTATTATTGTTTCCACTGATCAAAGAAAGGAAAGGCTTCATTCTCAAACACTGCAGTACCTCTTGTTTCTCTCAGTAGAAGAGGGAAAAGAAATTACTTGGACTTTTTGGCCCTCAGGTTTTCCAGGGTTGTCTCATCTTCGCGCATATTTGTGTCATATGATTTACCTGTGCTCCATCCCAAAAATGACTGGCTGTTGCACTAGTAGGAAGCAGATTGTCTTGTGGAAATGGCAGTGCTGTTCCTTGCAGTTAGTGGCAGAGAAAGGTGTGTGTGCGAAAATTGGTTGTGTGGGAGCAGAAATGTTACTATTGGCTCTTTATTTGATTTTAGTTTTATTTCCGGAATGTTCTGGAGATTCCAGAATGTTTTCTTATGTATAATTATTTTTAAATATTCAGCCAGTCCAAAATTTTAAAAGTATGTAAAGTTATATACTCTCTTTTCTTCCCCCAGATAAATTAGTTCTGCCTTCCTAAAGATCACTAAATGTTAACAAGTTTGTGTTACCATTTCAGTGATAATATGTAGCAGTCTAAGACAGGGGCACACATGTGTTAGCCTTCCTGTACCCCTTTCTATATCTTTTGTTTTGTCTCAGAAACCTTACTGATAATTACCTACCAACAAGTGATTCTTAGCTTTGCCTGGGCCTTGGGCTTTCAGATTTGACAGTTAAGGCATAAATAACCCAGGAAAGAAATAGAAAGCACGAACTTCATCACAAAGTTAAAAATTCTTTGTACTTCAAAGTGAACTGTCAACAAAGTAAAAACAGAGTGGAAGAAAGTATTAACACGCCACATATCTAATAAGTATAATTAGAATATAAAAAGAATCTTTAAAAGTCAGTCATTCAAAAGAGAAATGATTTTGTTTAAAATGGTGAATGAGATAGACATGTGCCAGTGAGGTATTAAAATAGCTAAGAGCGCATGAAAAATGCACAAGATAGTTGAGAGTGTGGCTCAGTGGGAAAGCATCTGCTTGCCATGTACAAAGCCCTGGATTCCCTCCCCAGTACTGAAAGCAAGTAAAGAAATAAATGAAAAGGTATATCATCAGAAGATTGCCAATAAAACTGTAGTTAGATACCATTCTCACACACCAGGCTGGTAAGAGTCAAATGAAGGCAATCAGTGTCGGCAAGGCTATGCAGAAACAAGATCACAGCCTGTGCTGCTGGAAGGAATGCACTATATTCTGTAGTGACTTTGGTGTAGTCTGGCTCTTCAGAAAGCTACTGGCACTCTGTGGCATAGCAATCCTGTCCCTGGGTATATGGGCGAGAGAAATGAAAACTTGTATGTGAATGCCCATAATAGCCTAAAACTGGACACAGCACAGATGCTCATCACATATCCATATAGTTGACTACTGTTTGACAATAAACAAGGCTGAAATATGGATGCACGCTGCAACAGGGATGAACCACAGAGACATACTAGTGTAAGAAGCAAACACAAAAGACCACATACAGCCAATGATTTTAATGACCTGCAAGGTTTAGAACAGGCATGTGCGTGGGTGTTTGCGTGCGTGGGTGTGACTTCAGCATCATCTCTTACAGCACAAAGCAAGTTAGCGCTGGTGGAAATTACGCCAAAGGGAAGAGTTTCCTTTAGAGTAACGGAGTACCCTGGAGTTAATTGTAGTTAATGGCAGCACAACTCTAAACACACTGAAAAACATGCCTAATTGTTCCTTTGAATAGTTGTACTTCATCATATGAATTAAATTTCAGTAAAGATTTCAATAAAGCTGTGACCAAAAAAAGGAATTAAACTTCAAAACATACAGGCCCACTCCTGAGTTCTTTATACCAATTACATATAAAGTTAGAAAGACAAAGTCCCTCATTTCTTTTTTTATGGCCATCAGTAAAGTTAGGCTGGGGCATGCTTAGTTCATCAATTGGCTCCACATTGACGGAGAGTGTAGGTTATTCCAGGTCTTAGATGTAGGAAATGGGCATGTGTGTGCTGGGCTTCACTGCATACTTAGGAAGCAGAAATAAAAATGGAATGCTTTTCTTGGTGGTTGCCACTTAGAAGCAGGTACAGGGGCACTTTGTGAGTAGGGTTCACCCCTCTTCTTCAGTGCTACCTACCCTCATGCACTCTGCTCCCTGGGGTCACCATATTAAAGTACATGTTAGTCTGGCTTCTGTTGTGGACACAAAACCTTAGTGTTTCCCAGGCTTATCTATGCCACGTTGTATAAAGAGGGCAATGATGGTTTCTATACCACAAGACTTGCTTGCAAGGGCTTTTCCACATGCTTGTTTTTTTGTTTGTTTGTTTAGATTTATTTATTATATATAGCATTCTGCCTGAATGTTTGCCTGCATACCAGAAGAGGGCACCAGATCTCATTATAGATGGTTGTGAGCCACCATGTGGTTGCTGGGAATTGAACTCAGGAACTCTGAAAGAGCAGCCAGTGCTCTTAACCTCTCTCTAGCCTACTACATGCTTGCTTTAAATTACCAATATTAAAGGAAAAATATTTTAAGGACACGTTTTCCTCAGACATCCAAAGTATATGTATCTTCTTATCACCCTAGGCAATCATTTCATTATGAAAATAAGTGAATTCATGCTGCATCTGTATCCTTGGCTTTTCCAATATATGCTTCTTCAAAGGGGTGTGTCCATTTGACCTTTCACCTTTCCACAGACCTACAGAGGGGTGGGCTAGCTGTCTCCATCCCCACTGATAAGGAGGGCTCAGCTTTGCCTTGATTGCACTTTGCAGCCTGAGCTCCATGGATTCCCTAGAACCTGTTGTAGGAAGGACTACAGTTTTTTACTATATGTAGAAAAAGGAAAGAAATTCATGGCCTTGAATTTGTAATATCACGCCCCCCCCACACACACTTTATTGCTGTTCTAGTTTATGTGCTTTGCTCCAAATTCTCTATTCTGCCTACCATTCTCCCCCATTGATACATTCATGACACAGGACAAAAATCACTATCTTTGACACTTTTGCTAACTGGTGATTCCCTGAATAATTGTTTATTGCATTTCTTCCACATTTAAGAGTCATTTTAACATGCTGCAGTATATGTAGAATGTGTACATAACCATGAGGTGTTGACACACCTTGGGGTGCATGTTATTTGGGGAGAGGAGTCCCACATAGTGAAGACAGCCCACAGCCTGTGGGACCGAGTGAGGCCTGGCTGGCGACACGGAGTCAGAGCCGGCCACACTGTAATTCTCACTTAGGAATCATGAGCTGTATGGCTAGCACAGAGCAGGGACAAATGTGAGCTTGGAGTCACTTGCAAACTTGTCCTTTTGTCTTGGCAGTGCTCGACAGGCACCTTGGATTATATTTTACAATGCTGCCAGGTGGCGCTGCAGAATATCCTCAACGACTCAGACAATGGTGACGTCACTCTGAAGTCCTTGGAACCTGCAGTTTTGAAAAAAGGAGAAGACATCCACAATGAGGTGAGGATGGCCAAGAAATTGCTAGATCTGGGACTCACCCCCCCCCCCCGGTTGCAGCTTCAAGAGTGTCTAACACAGGATATTGGAGTCAGAGAGGGCAGCTTACACCAACAATCACAATAGTCAGAGCCCAGCATGTTAGTGCTAACAAAGCATGGCAGCCACACAGCTTCTATGTAGCAGGAATCTATCCTCTTAGTCTGGACTGGGCAGCCCAAGAGCAAGACACTGGCAGTTTGGTTGTCTAGTTAGGAGCTATTTTTGGTTTCATAGATGCTACCTTCTCATTGGGTCTTTGCATAGTGGAAGGGACAGGGACTCATTGGGCCTTCTTTCTGTCTGCATTGATCTCTGCCCTCAGACTTAGTTACCTCCCCAAATGAGCTGTCACTTTGTGATGGGTAGGGTTTCACCATATGAATTTGGGTGCAAATGGCACAAACATTCAGACTGTTACTTTCCTCGAGATGGTTTCCATAGGAAATACACAATGGACAGGCAGCATGGCACTAGAAGGGTTACATTGTATGAGTAGAACCTTGAGACAAGGGAATGTACTTTTCTAATGGATTGGAAACATCTTTGTGTCAGGGAGATAGGGCAGCCCTTGAGGGTTAGCCCCAGGTGAACAGATAGAAGGTCTTGTAAATAAATATCCCATGTGCCTAGCATGGCTAGCACCTCCTCATTTCCCATTCTCCAAAGTCATCTTAACTTCAAGGTTAAGTTGGTGTGTCAGCTCATCATTAGGAGTTGTCCTGTTGTCGAACAAGCTGGCCTGGAATGGGGGTTGGTTTACTCACCCTGCTCTGTATTCTTAGTAGTTATCTAGTTTCTTGTTTGTTTTCCTCTTCCTTCAAGGCCATATGCCTTTTCTGGCCTAATTATAATTAAGCACTTTGAATGCTTTGAAGCCATCTGGGTTTAGGAATAAGCTTGTTTTCTAGCAAGACAGCATGAGAACTTCAGTCATAAGAAGGCAATGGCTTTTTTGGAGCCCCCATTTTAGGATGCAGAGAAAAGATTTCAATTCTTATATAAATAAAATTCCCCTCTTTCTTATTAAATTGGCTGTTTCTTTCTTCAAGCTGGTGGGTTCTAAAACTAACAATTTCTTCTAGAAGTGTCTCAGTGGGTAGCATGTTGGATACTCAGTTTCTTCTGCTCTGGAATGGCTTCGTGTGTGTCTGTGTAGCTGTAGCCTAGCACGCCCCTGCTCAAGTGACCTTAATAACTGAAGAAACACTGTAGATGGTATAGTGAGACATATACTCCTTAGGACATGTGCACAGCCTCATGAGCAAACCAATTGCTTGATCTGGAGCCAAATCAAGAGCCTGAACAAACATGGCAGAGAAAACCAACGCAGGCCCTCCTTGCTTTTTAGAGCAGTGGTGGCAATGTGGTGATGGTAGTTTTGAAATAGGGTGTTGGAATTCTTCTTCTTTTTGCCATTTTTTTTCTAGACAGACTCTTACTATGTATGTAGCTTAGGCTATACCAGGCTCAGTCTTGTGCTTCAGCCATGTGAGTACTAGGATCACAGGTGTGTACCGCCATCACTGGCTGTTGTAGACTTTGGTTCCCACTGTCTGAGTGCTCACTGACTGAGGTTCAGGCACACAGATGGCTCCTGTTTCTTTCCCCCTGACATATTCTCTTGGTGTTTCTGAGAGAAAGCTAAAACCCGTTAATCTCTTTTTGCTGTTCTGTGGAGAAGGCATGTAGAAGGTTGTGGTCATGGTCTCCTGGGTTGTACATGTGAACCTAGAACCACTGTACACTTGCTCTCATGGTTCCCTGTGATACAGAAGGCCTTTCATGATCTGTGGATCTCTGGGCTGCAGTCCACCTTCTTCTGCCCATTGGCTTTCAATTAGCTCTCTGTGGGAATTGCTCAAAAGTTTGGGTAATAATCTTCATTATGTGCATATTAGAAATCAGGCAGCTCCTTTAGAACTCTTCCTGTCTCATAGTCTCTTCCATTTCTAGTCATATGTGTGTGTGTATGTTTGTATGCATATACACATATATAAACATACATATAGGTTTTTATCTAAATTATGGTATATTTCTGTTTGGCTTCTTTTGCTTAACATGATGATCTCTAGTTCTATTATTTTCCTGGAAATGCCATGGTTGCTTTTTTTTGTTTTATCTTTTCTGTTTTTTCAGCTTAGTAAATTCTACTGTGTATGTATGTGTGTGTGTGTATACATACATATATATATATATATATATATATATATATATATCACATTTTTTTTTATCCATTCATCTGTTGATGGATATCTAGATTGGTTCCATACCTCTGCTGTTGTGAATAGTGTAGCATAGTGTGCTGACTTAGAGTCCTTTATGTATACATCTAGAAGTGGTATATTGCATCCTATGGTAGTTCCAGTTTTGTTTCTTGAGCGACCTCCATATTAACTCCATGATGTCTGCACCCATTTATACTCCTACCAACAATGAATAAGGGTTCTTCTGATTTTCCCACCTCCTCCCCACCATGTGTTGTCATTTATTTTCTTGATAACTTGGCTTCAGTGGAATTTCCAGGTGGTTTTAATCTACATTTTGCTAATGGCTAAAACTAAGGATGTTGTTTCTTCCTTTAGAACCATCTATTGAATTCATTCCATTTATTCACTTGATGAATCGATTTTGTGATATTTAGTTTGGGGAGGTCTTTTGGAGTCTAGGTAGTAATGCCATGTTGGGTATATATTTGACAAATATTGTTTTCCTGTTTTGTGGGGTTGTCTCTTCTTTTTGATAGTTTCTGTCTCTGTGCAAAAACTTTTTAATTTAATCTCATTGATAATTCTTGAGACTGTTTTCTGTGCTTTTGAGGTCTTTTCTAGAAAGTCCTTGCCTATGTCTATATTCAGAAATGTTTTGCCTTTCTTAGAAAATTCAGAATTTCATGTTTTATAGTAAGGTCTTTGATCTATTTTGAATTAATTTTTGTCTACAGAAAAAGATGTAAATCTTGTTTCTTTCTTTTATATGTGCATATTCAGTTTTCCCAGCACCGTTATTGAAGAGGAGGTCATTTTCCAATGTATCTTCTTGACATCTTGTAAGAGATCAGATGGTCCCAGTTATGTGGGTTTATTTCTGGGTACTCTTATTAAATTCCATTGGTCTGATTTTGTGTCATTGCTATGCTTTTTTTGTTACTATGGCTTTATAGTATATTTTGAGATTATGTGTTGACGCCTTCAGCATTGTGTATTCTGATCAGGATTGTTCTTGGCTTATGGGGGTATTTTATGCTTCTATATGAATTTTAGAATGTTTTTCTAGTTCTTTGAACAATATCACTTGACTTTTTATGGCAATTGTATTGAGTTTGTAGATAACTTTTGTAATATAGTTATTTTTTACGATACCCTGCCAATCTGTGAGTATCAGGGCCTTTCCATCTTCTAGTGTGTTTCACTTTCTTTCATAAGTGTCTTATTTCATTGTAGATATCTTTTGCTCCTCTCATGAGGAAGGAAGTTATATTATGAATGGAACTTTCCCCCTTATTTCTTTCTTGGCAAGTTAGGAATATATAGGACTGTGGGTTTCTGTGTAGATTTACATCCTTCCTCAAGGCAGAAAGTGGTTACAGATGCAAGAGTTTTCTAATGGGTTTTTATGGCCCCTCAAGTTTAGGATCATGTTATCTGTATATATTCTTTATTTGTATTCCCTTTCTCTCTCTCTCTCTCCTTATTTCTCTAGTTAAGATAGGAAACATTATACTGAGTAAGTGTGGGATGTGTGAGAAATCCTGTCTCGTTCCTGATTTTAGAGGATTTAGTGTAATGGTGGCTATAGGTTTGTGACATATATCCTTTATTATCCTAAGTATGTTCCTCCTATTTCCAGTTTATTCAGGGATTTCATTATGAAGGGACATGGACCTTGTCAAAGGCCTCTTTTGCATCTACTAATGGCCCTGTGATGTCTGCCCTTACATATTTTATGTGCTTTATTACATCTTTATTTTTATATGTTGAACCATCCTTGCATGCCTGGAATGGAAACAATTTGGTCATGGGTCATGGTATATAATTGGCCTCCTTTGTTCTTGAATTTGATTTGTAAAGATTTTGTGTCTGTGTTCATTAGTGAATTTTTTCTATAGCCCTTTGTTGCTGTTCTTCTCTGGTTTTGAGATTGTGTTAACACTGGCTTTGTCTACTATGTTTGGTTGCCTGCCTTCCCTTTCTGTTTCATGAAACAGTTTAAGGAGCGCTGGTGTTCCTTAAGCATTTAGTAGAAATCAGCAGAAATCTGCCTCTGGGGCACTTTTGTATTTATTTCATCAATCCCATTGTTTTTTTTTGTTTGTTTGTTTGTTTTTTTTTTTTTTTTGGATTTAAGTTGTTTTATGTCTTGACTTAATTTTGGTAGGTCATATATGCTGCAAATTTAAAATTTATCCATTACAAGGTGGCAGTTTCTAGTCTTCTATCTTCCCTGAACATCCAGAACCCTGATTCTTTAAACACAGAAGTTACATTTGGCTTTTTATTGGGAGTCAGAAGGGCTTACAGTATAGCATGCACACGGAAGTTAGAGGAACCAGTTTACTCCTTTTGCCATGTGAGTTCCATGGCTCAAACTCAGGTCGGTGGCCCCGGAAACAAGCACCCTTACCCTCTGAGCCAGTGTACTGAGGCTCCTGAGGAGGAAGAGAAACGTTTGTTTGTTAGCATGGCAGGGGCTCTGCATTTCCTTTCTTGTCCTATGGCAGAGTCCCCCATATGCTCTCTTCCAAGTGCTCCATCACAGAAGTACTGGCTCCTGTGCCCTGATAGGTTGACAGCTTTGTTATGTGTCTTTTTATTCTCTGTGTACCAGGGTGATCAAGGCTTCCAAGTGTTGTCCTCTTCGTTGGAAATAACTGGCCCAAAGGTTGAGAAGCTGTCGGAAACCACTTTACCACTCCCTAACTTTAGGCTGAGGCTCTGCTATGAGACCACTCTGTCAGCACAGTTTTATGAGAAACCCAATAAGAGGTTCCCTTTGTTTTGTTTTTTTTTTTTTTTTTTCTTGTAGTAAATGTGCTGTTAAACCTGGATCTTCCCTGAAGTTGAACTGTGGCCATATTCATTCTTCTTTCAAAGTACTCAGATTTACCTCCTGTCAACCACTGTCTTCATGCCACAGATAAGGCTTAGCAACTGTCTTAATGTCGCCCACATTCCTGAGTTGTTTTGTTTTGTTTAAACAGCTTTAACTGAAATTGGCTCTACACATCAAACATTTATTTAATGTAAGCCAAAAACCTCCCATTAGACTAGATCTTCTCCAGTTTCTTACTTGAGCCATTTTTGCCAGCGTTAATCTTTACAAGTTGCTTTTCGTTTGCTTCTTGAAAGTTGAGTGTGGAGAAGCAGCCTGCAGTCCTCGGTGGTCACAGGTGATGGTGACAATCGCTCAGCTCTGCGTGTGGAATGTAATCACTCTACAAAGCAGACGCCATGGCTTGGTGCTTTGCTCATGCAAAAGTAAAAGGAGTTTTGGGGTGAGATGGAGTTCTACATTGATGATAGCACCTGATGTTCAAGTGGAAGGCGAGCCATAGAAGACTTGTCTGATTGGTACCAATCAGACTCTCATCTGTGTATGTTGAGATTGTTTCCGTTGCAAGGCCCAGACAACTAAACCTGAGTCAGCTTGAGTGGAAAGGAGAGAGTTCATCCAGTCAGTGGCCATCTCCAGGATGTGATTTTCATCCTCTCACCACATAGTCACTTCCTGCCATGTTGGCTCCAGTTTGCCAGCAAAATGTTTACAAGCTTTTTGTTGTGTTTCTCTGGTCTTGAGACTTTTTCTTCCAAAATCCAGAAATGGAGGGGAGTGGAGGATGTTTGGCTTAACCCTGACTTTCCATTGCTACCATTAGTATTTTAGCTGGGGCTCTGCCTATGCCATAGGACTGAGCCTCAAGAAGAGATGATGATGAGAGCTATGTGTCCATCCTGTGGATAGGAGCAATGCCTCTAGGTGGTCAACACAAACAGCTTAGCTGTTTCCCAGAAAAGAATGTACTTCAGTGCCTTGTCTCTTTGCTACTGTTTGCCTATTGTAACCCTTACTGAACCAACAAGTAGGAGCTTTAATGATTGTGTAAGAGTTTGAATGCCTCTATAGCTAATTATATATTGTTCGCTTGTGTGGCTGAGATTATCACCGGCTCTTCCTGGCCCTTGGGTAGGTTCTTTCTTTTCATTCTAAGAAATTGACACATGATACTTTTAGTATCTGTCTGTGTCATTGCCTTCTTAGCTTTTACTAAAAATGTCTAATTGTTTGGTTATGACTTTCTGTAGTACACAGTGCAGGCTGCTTGTACTCCAGGATCTGAATGTTGGTTGTATCTGCCTAAAACATGTAACCTGGCCTGGACCGTCATCCTAGCAGGACCTCAACTATAAGACTTCCATTTTCTTAGCTTTCAGAAGGCTCTGGAGGTACCGGGGCAGTTGGGAACCAGTTAGGCCAGGCTTTTCTCACCTTTCTCGCCCTCTGTCTATGAAGTTGCCAAAGGAGAATTAAGTGGGGAAATCCTTGTCCTTGTTGGTCTAGCACAAGGACATTCTAACCACCACCTCCTTGTTCTGGTTCACAGGTCGAGTTTGAGTGGCTGAGGCAGTTCTGGTTTCAAGGAAATCGAAACAAAATTTGCAGTGACTGGTGGTGTGAACCCATGACTCAGCTGGAGGAGCTGTGGAAGAAGATGGAGAGTGTGGTAAGTGCATGAGGTTTGACCACATTTTCTGGGGTACTGCACTGTGCAAACCTTCAGCCATCTTAATTGTCACAGGCAAATGCATGTGTTATCAACCTGCATGAGTGTGTTAGGTTACTTCCTGTAAGGTAATGGGGGACGCCTGCAATTTTGTCACTAAAGCCTCAGCTCGTTTCCAGAACCATGTCTGATATTCTTCTTAGAAAGTACTCTGCTAGACATGAGCTTTGACACACCATGAGAACAGAGCATCAGCAGTATTCAGCGCTCATTTGTTTTTATGCTCCAGCCATTATTCAAAGGGTCTCCTTACAGCAGTTGATATAGACAGTGTTGGGAGCCCTAATGCTTTTAGAGGTGAAACCTGAGGTATAGAGAAACTAGGTACTTGGACAAGGTCACTAAGGTGATTGAAAAGGAAACACAGGCTGCAGAATGCATGCGTTTAAATCTGCATGACCTAGCAGTTTAGGAAGGAGAGAAATGTGAATGTCACCACATATTGCTGTAGTTACAATAAAACTATGCAGTGGGACCTAAAAAACAAACAAACAAACAAACAAATCATGGGCTAGCAAGATGGCCCAGAATGTAAAGACAGTTGCCACCAAACCTGGCAACCTGGGTTCTATATCGGGGACCCACATAGTGGAAGGAGAACATGACTTGCAAGTTGTCCTCTGACCTCCATACATTCACCATAGTTCACGTCAATATCAGGTTCAGGTCCTTACTTCTGGGACTGTTAGGAAGGTGCTGGTCTGCTTAAAGGCCCATGTGAAATAGAGGGGTAGGGTGGGCTATCTGGTTTTGCAATTGTGAAAACAAGATAAGAAATCATGGCATTTATGGTATGTAGAACTTGAACACCAGCTAGATGGCAAATGGAAGCCACTTGATAAGCCCCAAATTGGATAACAATAACAGCACCAAATGCTTGCATTGTATTTTTAAAGAGTACTAAAGGTTGCTGTCACTTAATGTTCATGATGACCCTGTGGAACAGGTTTGATTTTTGCCTCACTTTTACATATGAGGAGATAGGAGCCCAAAGGCCTTATGTAACTTTCCCAAGGTCACCAGCTAGTAGGTGGGAGAGCTGGGATTTGAACTCTTGCTCTAGGCTTCTTGCCCTTTGTCTGCTCACTGGTCTGCCTCCAAACACTTGAATTTGGAATGCAGAGGAAAGGCGATAAAAGCCTGATGAGCCTCTGGAGAGTGGCACTTCTCAGATTTGGAGTGTGCTGAGAGCAGTGAGCTCATCCACAGGGATGCACAGTGATTGTCAGTTCCCACACATAATGTTTTTAGACATCTTTATGAACCTTTGGTTGACATACCAGAAGCTAAGCAAACATATATAGTTTGATGAGTGGAGAGATTAAATGTACACCTATGAAGCCATAGAAATAGCCCACACTGTCTCCTCCAAAGGAATTCACTTGGCCTACCAATTTAGTGTTGTTGTTTTGATAAAAATGTTTACATAGTATCTAATCCCTATTTTATAATAATGAAAATTGCAAGTTACAAATATGAAGGCCTCAGCTTCAGTACATGTATCAGAATGTGAATCTCTGAGATCCTTAGCAAGGATCGGTGTGTGGGAAAGGAATAGGATTACCCTTTCAATGTATTAACAGTCTCAAAAATAGATTTCCCCAAAGCCCTGAGTTAGTGCAGAACAGAGCATTGTATTGTCAGGTTGCAGGTGACGAGTCCTTCTCTGCCTGGGTAGCTCTGTTCAAGCTTGGGGAGAAAATGCTGTTTTTATAGGATATACACAGAAATCCAGATTGCCCATTTTACATATGTACTTAGAATCCTGTTTGCCAAGACATAATTCTTAGATATCAGCCTGACTTGGAAATTGTAATTTAACCACATTGTAAAGATTGAGAAACAAATAAGAACTCAATAATTTTGTAAAATAATTTTAAGAGGTTTTTATTGCTTACATTTAGGAATATTTCCCCCAAGTGAATTTTTGTAGTATTCTGATCACACCAATGATGTTCATTATTAATTCATTGAAAAGATATGAGTGTAGATGCATGCCGGCATCTCCATATGTGTACACACATGTGGGAGATATGAGTGTAGATGCATGCCAGTGTCTCCATATGTGTTAGTAGTGGCACATTAGTTAAAGGAATACTATTCATTGTATTCATACTGGGGGTGGGGGTGGGTGGGGGAACAAAAAAAAGAATAAAAGGAGTAGCAATCCAGGTAGTTTTCCAGAGCATGGTTCTTTGCACTTGGCAGAACATTCTTTAGCTTTGCTAAATAATAAGAATAAGAATAAATTAAGGGTCAATGTCTCTCCCGAATCCCATGGTTGGATCATTATCAACAGAGTGAAGGTTTGAGCCAAGATAAAACAGATAGTTGGATGGTTCCTCTAAATTAAGTTGAAGCATTGCTTTGGGCCTTTAAAGATGATTTCTAATAAGCTCATGATAAGTTGTTTTTGCTACAAGAAGACACAGTGGAGAATAAACTTAGAAAGAATCTGGCTAGGTGGCTCTAGTGCAGTGACATGTGGTATTTGGATATGAGGGTGAAGTAGGCATTGGTTGGTGGAAGTCTGGCTTCTGTCAGCCCTTCTCCAGCTTTTTAAAAACTTATAAGCAGTAGGGGGCAATGTTGAGCTGCCAGTTGGAGGTCCCAAGATGCTGCCTTTCAGGAAAATGCATATGAATGTCCCATTAACTGCCAAAAATTATCCCTGTTGCTTCAGGTTAACTGTAATCTCCAAGATGCTGTAACACAGGAAATCAGTTGTGGGTTCACAAATTCAAAGCAATTTCACATCAAAAGTTCACTGTTTGGTGCGTACTTAGATTCTGTGGAATTAAGCTAATCGAAAGGGCATTTCTAAATGTTCAAACTTTTCTTCTAGGGAATATATTACTCCAAATTATTATGATTTCAGACAAGTGATTCTTTGTTATCTTTCCCACATACGAGTATTGTGGGAAGATGTCTTTGATCAATGCATTTTGTCGGTTCTATAGTATATTGTCCATCTTTTTTAATGAAAAAAAATAAGACCTACAACCTTGGACCCTGCATGCAGTACTTTCGCCCTTTTGTGATGAGTAAAGCAGCCTTTGATGGCCTTGTACCAGGGAGAGGCTAGTGTCGTCATTTCTCTCGGTCTTTCTGTCCTTTTTCTCATGTGGTTGGGAGGAGTAGTCTCTAGAAGCCTAGAGGAGAATGGAAATGAATTTTGAAATAGCTATTCTTCCATTAGTGGTAATTGCTGCACATGTTACAACCAGCCACATTTTTCAGAAAGTTTAGTCAGCTGTACATAAACTCCCCTGGCTTCTGCTGCCCACTCCCTATCCCAGCAGGCACACTCTGGCACACTGTTTGTCCTGCCCTTCTTTCCTGGAGGACAGCTTTACTCTGTGCTTGCTCTTGTGATGTAAATGTTAAACCTTATATTTGAATGACATTCTGATAAAACATCACATCTCCCCAGATTATTACTTTGCGAATTTGCTGAGCATTGAGCCCGGAGCAGCGTGACCCTTCACTGTATGGTCAAGCCTTTCTTGCCCTCTCCACTCTCCACTCCAGAAGTCTTCTAACACTGAGGGCTACTCACATATTTGTATTTCTTTCTTTCTTTATTTCTTTCTTTTTTTTTAAAAACCAACCCACTACCTCTCATCCAAGATTACCATATTATTAGGAGACTCTTCAGGATAGGAGAGTTATCATTTGAAAGCAACCATGCAAGCTTTTCTTGCCAGCTAAAGAGGAGTATGAAAAGCTGAAGTCTCCTGTGAGGCAACGAAGTCATGCAGTGGCCTGAGATCCAGCGGATAGGCCATTTGTCTCCCAGGGGCTGGTATCGCTCTTTGCAAAACTGACATTTATTTTACCTATAAAGATGTTTTAACACTATCAAATTCATGGTGAGACTGAAAAGAAGGCTGTGTGTGAAATCTTCTAAATTGATGACATTTATTCATTTCCTTTTGACCTTAAAAACCTCCACTTGGTACAATCCAGTGGAATTATTCCAGACCAGCATCCCAAGGAAGCACTCTGAGAAAAACTGATGATTTATGTACTGCGGGGATTTCTTCATGCTTTCTGTTGTTGTTGCTTTTCCTTTTGGGGGAGAAAGTGGCTCCCACTCATCCTCTGTGTTCTGAGCCATTTCCTGTCCCAACAGCCCCTGGTGCTACAGTAGCAGGCGCTGTGTTTGGCCATTGGCCTTAATAACCTTTGCCGACTGTAGTGGGTGGGAGCCAAGGCTGGATTATTTTAATGTATCCGTTTTGAATCAGTGTAAAATACAACATATAATTATGTTAGGTAAGCGATAGGCTACATTTAATTTGCCCATTTATGTTAAAATTTGGCTCAGGAGAGCAGAGAGATGTGGAAAATGAGTGGGTGTTTCATTTCATAACATAACCAGGTTCTTGTTGTTAAAGTTTTAAGAGAGAAATGTTCTTCCGAGTGTAAAGGCGTCCCTGACAAGTTATTTATAATGGTTTAATTCCGAGGTGAGTCATGCCTCTCTGCTTGTCATTGTGGTCTGCATAAATCATCAGGGAACCTTGTTCTGGAGGCAGCCTGCTGCTGCAGGGACAGGTTCCCTGTTTGTGGCTCCCACAGTTGCAGGGAATGAGGGAGCTGAAGAGCAGTTTGTTTGTTTTGGTGAGGTTAATGAAGCTGTCACTACAGCTGTGGATAAAATTCTTTGTAAGTGAACATATGAACAAGACTGCTTCTTATGTACTAAATACATATCAAATACAATGGAATAGCATTTAGATAGCAACTCAAGTTAATTTTAAAATTTTAAATTAAAGATTTTAGGGGACATGAATGATATAATGATAAATTGTAAATAAATATTTTGGGTTCATATTAATGGTGAAATCACCTAGATATATGCATGTATATTCATGTTACATATGTAATTATTTACCTCTCCCTATAAGTATTGCTGTGAATACTAAATTACATGT